GAAATTAAATGTAAAGGGGGAGAACCCAACAAAAAGAAAAAGTCATGGCAATGACAAGTCAATACGTTTCAGTTATAACCATCAACGTTAATGGTCTCAGTTCACCAATCAAAAGAAATAGACTGGCAGAATGGGTCAAGAAGCAAAATCCAACAATATGGTGCATACAAGAAACATGCTTAATTAAAAAGGAAACTCATAGACTCAAAGTTAAAGGGTGGAAAGATTAGGACAAGTACAGTCACCCAGGTAATATTGATTAAATGAGGATCCAATGGGGAAGCAAGTCACGCAGCAAGTGTACAAGGATTTTCAGTCTGGGATCTTTCCTGGTGATTGATACCTATTTAGAATGTCAATCACCGGTATTCATCCTTAGGGGAACCATGAGAGTATGGTAGTTTCTCGTGTTACAATCCTGGCCTTCAATGAAGGTGTCTTCACTGTCCTCCATGTTGGCTCCTTTTAGGCTGGCCCTGTCTAACTGCCTACAAGATATCTAATTAACTTACCTATCTACAACAGTAGTACAGGAGAATTGAACCCAGTGCACTCTACCACTGAGCTACACATCCAGCATTCATTCATTCATTCATTTAGATAGGTTTTCTATGTAGCTCAGACTGGCCTTGAACTCACTAGGTACTGGAACTCACAGTGATCCTCCTGTCTCAGATGCCCCTACACCAGAAATGCATCACTACACCTGGCTTATATCTATAAATTGTCCAGGCTGGGCTTGAACTTGCAATCCTCCTACCACAGCCTCCCAATTATTTTTTTCTTTTTTCAAGACAGGGTTTCCTATGTAGTTTGTGCTGGCCTTGAACTCACTATGTACCCCAGGCTGGCCTTCAACTTGTGGCAATCTTCTTGACTCAACCTCTCAAGTACTGCGATTATAGGAGTGCACCACTGCATCTGGATAGAGTCAGAATTCTTGACTCTACCTCTAGTCAGCTGCTAATGCTTTTTTGTTTGAGCTCTGGTTGCCTCACCTATAAAAATGTGGGTTGGTTCTGCATGTTTTCAAGGTTCCTTCCTACTTTACTTTCCCAGCAGCACAAGCCTGCACAATTCCAGTGCTCTTTTCTGAAGCAGGCTATGAGGTCAGACCAGGCACAATTGAGACCACTGAGGCAGGCAAAGTCTAAGCAACATGCAATGAGTTTATTGCCATCTGGGTGCAGATGGGCCAAGGG